TGGCAGAAGGCAAAGGAGGAACAGGCATCATACATGGTCAGAGAAGGAGCAACAGATAGAGAAGGAGGATGCTCCATATCTTGTGATAACTCACTATCACAAAAACAGCACCAAGGGGATGATGCTAAACCATTCATGAGAAACCACCACCTACATTATCTAATCACTTCCAACCATTCCTCATCTCCAACACTGGGGACTACAATTCAACATGACATTTTGCGAGGTTACAGATCCAAACTATATCACAACCTTGTTTATTCTTTCCATGAAACGACTTCTAAATTTGTGTGGTTTTTCATATGGTTTTCCGCATACCAACTTCTTTCACTTCAGCTCTGATTTTGGTTATTTTTTGTCTTCTCCTAGCTGTGGGGTTGGTTGTCCTTGTTTCTCTAGTCCCTCTAAGAGTGATGTTAGATTGTTAATTTGAAATATTTCTAACTTTTTGATGTGGGTGTTTAGTGTTATAAACTTATCCCTTAATGCTGCTTTAACTGTGTCCCGGAGATTCTGGTATGTTGTATGTTTGTTCTCATTAGTTTCAAAGGATTTCTTGATTTCTGCCTTAATTTCATTATTTATTCAAAAATCATTCAGAAGAAAGTTGCTTAATTTCCATGTAACTGTATGGTTTTGAATGATTTTCTTGGTATTGATTTCTATTCTGAGAATGTGGTTTGGATAATTTCAGTTTTTTTAATTTGCTGAGGATTGTTTTATTGCTGAGTGCATGTTCAATTTTAGGGTATATGCCATGTGTTCAGAAGAATGTATATTCTGTTGTTTGGGAGTGCACTGTTCCTTAGATGTCCATTAGGTCTATTTGGTTAAGCGTCAAGTTCAGGTCTTAAATATCTTCAACAGTTTTCCAAGTTGATGGTCTGTCTAATACTGTCAGTGGGGTTTTGGAAGTCTGCAGCTATTATTTCGTGATTATCAAAGTGTCTTCTAGGTCTCTAAGAACTTGCTTTATGAATCTGCATGCTTCAGTGTTAGGTGCATATATATTTATCATAATTAGGTCTTCTTGTTAGATGGAACCCTTGACCCTTTCTTTGTCTTTTTATCTTTATTTTTTTAAGTCATTTTTTTTGCCTGAAATTAAAACAGTAACCTCTGCTTTTTTCTATTTTCCGTTTGCTTGGTAGATTTTCCTTCATCCCTTTACTTTGAGCCTGAGTGTCAGTACATATGAAGTGGGTCTCTTGAAGCCAGCATACAGTTGAGTCTTCCTTCTATACCTAACCTGCCACTCTGTACTTTTTAATTAGGGAATTTAGCCTGTTCACATCCAATATTCATATTGATATGTACAGATGTAATACTGTGATTGTGTTACCTGGTTATTATGCAGACTTTTTGTGTGGTTACTTTATAGTGTTAATGCTTTATGTATTTAAGTGTGTTTCTGCAGTGACTGGTAATGGCCTTGCCATATTTAGCACTCCCATCAGGGTCTCCCCTAAGGCAGGTCTGATGGTAATGAATTATCTTAGCATTTGCTTGTCTGAAAATAATCTCATTTCTCCTTCACTTATGAAGCTTAATTTGATTGCATGTGAAATTCCTGGTTGGAAATTATTTTCTTTAAGAATGCTAAATGCACATCCTGCCCCCACCGTCACCCCCACTTCCTGCAATCTCTTCAGGCTTGTAAGGTTTCTGCTGAAAAGTCCACTGTTAGTGTGATAATGTTCCCTTTTGTGGGTAACCTGCCCCTTCTGTCTAGTTGCCTTTAACATTGTTTCTTTCATTTCAACCTTGGAGAATCTGTTGACTAAGTGTCTTAGGGATGGTCATCTTGTGTAGTATCTGACAGAGTTTCTCTGAAGTTCCTGAATTTGAATGTTGGTCTCTCTAACGAGTTTGGGAAAAGTTTCTTGGATAATATCCTGGAATGTTTTCCCTTTCTTTCACTCCTTTCTTTCAGGGACACCAATAAGCCATAATTTGGTCTCTATATATAATCTCATATTTCTTGGAGGTTTTGTCTATTATTCTTTCACCTTTTTAAAAATTTTCATCCGAGGTATTTCAGAGAACTGGTCTTTAAGCTCTGAGATTCTGTGTGTGTGTGTGTGTTTTTTTTAGACCTAGTTTCGCTCCTTTGCCTAGGCTGGAGTGCAGTGGCGTGATCTCAGCTCACTGCAAGCTCCGCCTCCTGGGTTCACGCCATTCTCCTGCCTCAGCCTCCCGAGTATCTGGGACTATAGGTGCCCACCACCATGCCCAGCTAATTTTTTGTATTTTTAGCAGAGACAGGGTTTCACCATGTTATTCAGGATAGTCTTGATCTCCTGGCCTTGTGATCCACCAGCCTCAACCTCCCAAAGTGCTGGGATTACAGGCGTGAGCTACCACACCCAGCCTCTGAGATTCTTTTCTATGCTTGGTTGATTCTCCTGTTAATAGTGGCCATTATATTCTGAAATTCTTGAAGTGATTTTTTTAGCTCTATCAAATCAGTTTTGTTATGTCTTAAAATACCAATTTTGTCTTTTATCTTTTGTATCATTTTATTTTATACCTTAGAAACCTTGGATTGGGTTTTGACTTTCTTCTGAATATTGATTATCTTTGTTCTTATCCATGTTCTGAATTCTATTTCTGTCATTTCAGCCATTTCAGCCTGGTTAAGAACCATTTTTTTGGAAGGACTGATGTTCCTTCAGTCTTTGTAATTATTGTCCTTTGGATGAGTTACTTTGCTTTTATCTTCTTCGATGCCCCTGGGGGTTTGATTGTGGTATGTAGTGGGTTAAGTCAATTGGCTTTATTTCTGGAAGATTTTAGGCTGAGTTCAGTACTCCTGGGATGTGTGCTCTAACTCTGTGGGGTTGATATCCAACCCCCAACTTTGTTCTCTGTCCTGTCAAAGTTAGGAACCTGCTGCACTGGAAGGGCCAAGGTATGTACTAACGACTGGGTGAGGTCTGCCCACATGCACACATGTGCTGGCAAAGTCGTAGCAAGGTGGCTGTGGGCAAGTGCATGCCAGCAAAGTGGCATGGGGGAGGCTGCAGTTGGGTTTGGGTGTAGGTGAACTGGGTGTGTGTCAACAGGGACCACTCTGCTGGAGCTCCCTAACAGTCTAGCACAGTCTGCCAGTGAAGCAGGTATGATGTCGGCCCCTGGGAGGCACCTTAGTTAGCCATGTGAGGCTGCACTACAAGCGAGTGCAGCCAAGCTGGGGCTCTAGAAGCCAGCAGATATGGGTCACTGAGATTGGAATTACCCCATCTCACAGGCAAGATCACCCTGCTGTGTTCTAGTCCAACAGTTCACCTAAGACTGAAGTCTCGTAGGGGAGCGTGGCAAGCCTTGGGTAATGGGCATCCCTGCTTGTGCTCCACTACAGACATTCCAGCAACAAACCCTCTGGGCTCTACACGGGCTGGAGCCCTGCCCTTATTACCTCTCTAAACAGCTCTCCCTGCAGGCTCAAGTGTCCTTCATGGTCATGGGGTGCTGCCAGGATTCCAGATGTTGGTGGTAAGAGTAGATCACTCCTTGCCTGTTCAACTCACCCCTTCCTCAGAAATCACTGGGGGCCAGGAATGAGGCCCAGTGTACAGTCGCCTTGTACAGGATTCCCAACTATATTAAGTGGAATTGTTTTTGAGTTTCAGTTTTCAGTTTATTTGCAGTATAATAGAATGCAATTGTTTTTTATTGACCTTGTACACTACAACATTACTGAATTTTATGTTCTAATCTTATATTAGTGGATTCCTTAGGATTTTGTATATACTAGATCATTTTACTGGTACATAGAGACAGTTTGATTTCTTTTATTTTTTTATTTTTTGATATGGAGTTTTGCTCTGTTGCCCAGGCTGGAGTGTAGTGGTGCAGTCTCGGCTCACTGCAACCTCCACCTCCTAGGCTCAAGTGATTCTCCTTCCTCAACCTCCCAAATAGCGGGGGTTACAGGCGCCTGCTACCACGCCTGGCTAATTTTTGTATATTTTTAGTAGAGATGGGATTTCACCATGCCAGTCTGGTCTGGAACTTCCAACCTCAGGTGATCCACCTGCCTCGGCCTCCCAAAGTGTTGGGATTACAGGTGTGAGCCACCACACCTAGCCTGATTGATTTATTTTCATTCTGATAGTGTTATATTTATTTTTCTAGTATAATTTATTGACTATATCCTCAATTACAATTTATAATAGAATGGTGGTAGTGGATAACCTTTTTGAGTTTTTAATTTTGGAAAAATTACTGAGACTTCCTTGATACCAGTGTTATGTGAGCTTTTCATGGATATCTGCTTCCAAGTAAAGAACATTTCCTTTCATGCATAATTTTTTCATGTTTTTACCATGAGTGGGTTTTGGATTTTTCAAATGCTTGTTACATATCCTTGGAGGTCATCATGAGGCTTTGTTTTTTCATTTATTAATAAAATGTATTACACTAATTGTTTTTATATATTTTATTTTATCAAACTTACAATCCTGACATAAGTACCCTTCATCAGAGTGTATAAATGTGTTTTAAGAACCTGAATTATTTGTTTATGTCTTTGAGGATTATTGCCTCAGTATTCATAAGACATATTGGTCTACAATTTTCCTTTCTTCTTCTTTTTTTTGAGATGGAGTCTCTCTCTGTTGCCCAGGATGGATGGAGTGCAGTGAGACAATCTTGGCTCACTGAATACTCCGCCTTCTGGATTCAAGCAATTCTTCTGCTTCAGCCTCCTGAGTAGCTGGGATTACAGGAACCTGCCACCACACTCGGCTAATTTTTGTGTTTTCAGTAGAGATAGGGTTTCATGATATTGGCCAGGCTGGTCTCAAATTCTTGACCTCAGATGATCCGCCCATGTCAGCCTCCCAAAGTACTGAGATTACAGACATGAGCCACCATGCCCTTGTATTTTCCTTTCTTAAAATATCTCTATCTAGTTGTAGTATCAGAGTAATCTGCCTCATAGAATACATTAGGCAGTAATCTCTTCTTCTCTATTGTTTTTATTTTCTTTTATGAAGAATTAAGGATCATTATTAAGTTGTTAATGGGTCAAGAGAAAGTTACCACTGAAGTCTTCTCTACCTGGGCAACAATTGACTCCTAACAACCACTATAAGCTTGAAAGATGATCCCTCCCCAGCTAATTCTTCAGGTGAGTCCTCAGCAGCATCTACATCTGGATTCCTGACCCAGAGAAACTGTGAGTAATGTGTGTGTGTCGGTGTTTTAGCCTCTGAGCTATGTGGTAATTGGCTATGGTGCAATAAATAATGCATCTGACAGTAAGTATAATGTGTTATCCTGGAGTGAATCCAAAAACTTAAAAATGATATCAGTAGAAAACCTGATAAAATATGAATAAAGTCTGTACCTTAGTTAGTAGTTTTATACTATCATCAATTTTCATGTTTTCATATGTATTCTATCTATGGTTATATAAGATGTCAACATTAAAGGAAGTTGCAGGGTAGATGAAATCCTATGTAATATTTTTATAACTTTCTGTAAATATAAATTTATTTCAAAATTAAAGAGTAAAGACATAATTCACGTATTTGACATCACAACTTGGTCTAAACTTAATTGACTCTTCCTGGAACCTTAACCTCTGGGTGCAAATATAATATTATAAATTATGAATTATATGAATTTATTTTTCATTCACTCTATTATTTAAGGAGTACTAAAGCCGATTTATTTTCTCAATTATCCAAAAGTAGTGTTGGCCAGAGTAACAAGTAGGCAGAGCAGAATATTTTATGAATACCATAATGCATCTACACTTGCCTTGACTATTTATAAAGTGATTTGTATGATTATCATCTATATGATCATAAAGACAAATGAGAAAGAAAAATTTATAGATATGCAACTTTTCTGAATTTAAGAATAGGATCTAGCCAGGCATAGTAGCATGTGTCTGTAGTCCCAGCTGCTAGGAAATGTGAGGCAGAAGGATCACTTGAGACCAGGTGTTTGAGGTCATAGTTTGCTATGGTTGCATCTGTGAATAGCCACGGCACTCCAGGTTGGGCAAAATGGCATCACCCTGTCTCAAATAAATAAATATTTGAGTTGGACTGTAATTTTTAGGTATCTTTGTTCATATTTATATGATTAGGACTGGAATTCTCATGATATAGATTTTTCTGTTTTTAGAAAGCTGCCACTGCAATACAAACTTTCATGTAACTCAGTGCCATGTCTGTCTTCCTCCTGAATGTATATCTTGAACTGTAGACTAATTATCTCACCATATTTGTTTTATATCTGTAATTTCTTGTTTGCTTTTGAGGTTTCTCTCTGGATCATGGCTATAAACTATAGCCCTGCCCAACAGGACTCAAGGGTTTAGTACTGAATTTTCACAGTATGCTTTTCTTGGGATGTTTATTTATGCTGGTGGATGGCCTGATGTCTAATTGTCTGACCTGTAACCAGGTTTCTCTCTCACAGAATACTCATTTTTATTGGAATACATCCTTATGGCTCCTTTCTGACCCATGTTCAGTTTATCCCTACCAAGGTAGACACTCTTTAAGAGTAATGAGTAGGACAAAAACATGAGGTCCAGGTATGTTGGTCAAGTGAGACACCTAAGAGACAACACAGCAAAAGGCGTGAAATATCCCTCAGTGTATGACTAACAGATCCTGGAGATAAGAGGGCAGCATTCTCTGCAGGGCCAATGGGAAGGGGAGAACTCTCTGAAACAAACACTCCCAAGCAGCAGGGGTCAAGGGGAGCAAAGAGAGAGAATGCATGATGGACCAGCAGGCTGAAGCATTTGTTGGTGTATAATCTGTGTTTTTCAGAGATACAGAACCAATAGATGATAGTTATAGATAGATGATAGATAGATAGATAGATACATAGATACATAGATAGATAGATAGATAGATAGATAGATAGATAGATAGATGAGAGACAATTTATTAGGCATGGGCTCACGTGATTATAGAGACTGAGAATCCCAAGGCAGGCCATCCATAAGCTTAGGACCCTGAGATGCTGGTAGTATGGCCCAGTCCAACATCATATCTTCAGAACCATGGAAGCCCTGGGGTAATTCTCAGTTTAAGGCCAAAAGCCTACAAATCTGAGTAAGCTATGAGTTTCAAGGGCAGACATCTTTGATTTCTGTTGTCCAAGGGCAGGAAAAGAAATATCCTTCCTCCAGGAGAGACAGACAGGAAAAAGTTATGCCTTTTCGGTTGTATTTAGCCTTAAGTAGATTGGATGGTGCTTGTTTTTCTTGGGGGTGGATCTTTACCCCTCAGTCAAATGACACACACACCAAACTCCTCACTCACAGACTCAGAAGTAATGCTTTACCAGTCTTCTAGGTATTCATTAATACAGTCGTTGTGATACATAAAATTAACCATCCCAAGCCCATCATTTTTCAACTTGGCACCTGTGTATTGTTTGTCTGTGTTCCCACCCAAACTTGAATTGTAGTTCCCATAATTCCCACGTGCTGCAGGAGGGCCCCAGTGGGAGGTAATTGAATAATGGGGACGATTACCCCCATGCTTCTGTTCTCATGATAGTAAGTGATTTCTCACAAGATCTGATGGTTTCATAAGGGGCTTTCTCCCCATTTTCTCGGCACTTGCCTTCCTGCCACCATGTGAAGAAGGACATATTTGCTTTCCCTTCCACCATGATTGTAAGTTACCTGAGGCCTCCCCAGCCATACTGAACAGTAAGTCAATTAAACTGCTTTCTGTTATAAATTACCCAGTCTCAAGTAAGTCTTTATTAGCAGTATGAGAATGGACTAATACAGTAAATTAGTACCAGTAGTGGGGTACTGCTATAAAGATACCCCAAAATATGGAAGCGACTTTGGAACTGGGTAACAGGCAGAGGCTGAAACAGTGCGGAGGGCTTAGAAGAAGACAGGAAAATGTGGGAAAGTTTGGAACTTTCTGGAGACTTGTTGAATGCCTTTGACCAAAATGATGATAGTGGTACGAACAATGAAGACCAGGCTGAGGGGGTCTCAGATGGAGATGAGGAACTTGTTGGGTACTGAAGTAAAGGTCACTCTTGCTATGCAAACAGACTGGTGGCATTTTGCTCCTGCCCTAGAGATCTGTGGAACTTTGAACTTGAGAGAGATGATCTAGGGTGTCTGGCAGAATAAATTTATAAGTAGCAAAGCATTCAAGAGAAAGCACAACATAAAAGTTTGGGAAGTTTGCAGCCTGACAATGTGAAATAAAAGAAAACCTGATTTTCTGGGGAGAAATTCAAGCCAGCCGCAGAAATTTGCATCAGTAATGAGGAGCCTAATATTAATCACCAAGACAATTGGGAAGTGTCTCCAGGGCATGTTAGAGAACTTTATGGCAGCCCCACCTATCACAGGCTAGAGACCTAAAGGGAAAAATGTTTCATGGACTAGGCCCAGGCCCCCCTGCTCTGTGCAGCCTCAGGACATGGTGGCCTGCATCCCATCTGCTTTGGCTCCAGCTGCTCCAGTTAAAAGAGGCCAAGGTACAGCTCAGGCCATTGGTTCAGAGGGTGCAAGCCCCAGGCCTTGGTGATTTACACATGGTGTTGGGCCTGCAGGCACACAGAAGTCAAGAATTGAGGTTTGGGAACCTTCACCTAGATTTCAGAGGATGTATGGAAATGCCTGGTGTCGGGGTAGACGTTTGCTGCAGGGACAGAGCCCTCATGCAGAACCTCTGCTAAGGCACTGAGGAAGGGAAATGTGGGGTTGGAGCCCCTACGCAGAGTACCCACTGTGGCACTGCCTAGTGGAGCTGTGAGAAGAGGGCCAACATCCTCCAGACACTAGAATGGTAGATCCACCGACAGCTTGCACCATGTCCCTGGAAAAGCCACAGACACTCAATGCCAGCTGTGAAAGCAGCTGGGAGGGGGGCTGTACCCTGCAAAGCCACAGGGGCAGAGCTGCCCAGTGCCGTGGGAGCCCACCTCTTGCATCAGCATGACCCGAATGTGAGACATGGAGTCAACGGAGACATTTTGGAACTTCAAAGTTTAATGGCTGCCTTCTTGGATTTTAACTTGCGTGGGGCCTGTAGCACCGTCATTTTGGCCAATTTCTCCCACTCGGAACAGGTGTATTTATCCAACGCCTGTCCCCCCATTGTATCTAGGAAGTAACTAACTTGCTTTTGATTTTACAGGCTCATAGGTAGAAGGGACTTGCCTTGTCTCAGATGAGACTTTGGACTTGGACTTTTGGGTTAATCCTGGAATGAGCTAAGACTTTTGGGGACTGTTCAAAAGGCATGATTGGTTTTGAAATATGAGGACATGAGATTTGGGAGGAGTCAAGGCTGGAAAGATAAGGTTTGGCTTTGTCCCCACCCAAATGTCATCTTGAATTATAGTTCCCATAATCCCCACATGTCATGGGAGAGACCTGGTGGGAGGTAATTGAATCATGATGGCACTTAACCCCATGCCGGTCTCCTTGAGATAGTGAGTGAGTTCCCATGAGATTTGATGGTTTTAAAAGGGGCTTTTCCGGCCGGGCACGGTGGCTCAAGCCTGTAATCCCAGCACTTTGGGAGGCCGAGACGGGTGGATCACGAGGTCAGGAGATCGAGACCATCCTGGCTAACATGGTGAAACCCCGTCTTTACTAAAAAAAATACAAAAACTAGCCGGGTGAGTTGGTGAGCGCCTGTAGTCCCAGCTACTCGGGAGGCTGAGGCAGGAGAATGGTGTAAACCCGGGAGGCGGAGCTTGCAGTGAGCTGAGATCCGGCCATTGCACTCCAGCCCGGGTGACAGAGCGAGACTCCGTCTCAAAAAAAAAGGGGGGGCTTTTCCCCCTTTCGCTCAGCACTTCTTTTTCCTGCCACCATGTGAGGAAGGACGTGTTTGCTTCCCCTTCTTCCATGATTGTAAGTTTCCTGAGGCCTCCCCAGCCATGCTGAACTGTGAGTCAATTAAACCTCTTTCCTTTATAAATCACCCAGTCTCAGGTATGTCTTTATTAGCAGCATGAGAACGGACTAATACAGCACCCATATTATTTCCTTAACCCCAAACTAATCTCCAAATGAGTGACTTAATGTGCTACCTCTTGAATATACTGGGGTGGAGATTGGACCCCACAATGTCTCAGGCAGCATCATCTTTATGGATTTTCATGGTGCAGTTC